AGGCCAGAGAAAAGGCAAAAAATCTCTCTCCATCCAGAATAAAATAAAAGTGGAAGGAAAAATACACTTTTACAGAAGGGTCACAAAGGGCAAGAAGCTACTGATGCAGCCACTTGGCTCATGGGAGTTGATCTGTCACCATTAAGTCCACAAGGATCACTTAAGAGCACAGGAAATCCTGTCAGAATGAAGCCAGAAGTAAGAAGAAAGCAAACCATTTAAAATCCTAGCAGTTTGTGCCTCCTCCACCTACCTGCCTTGGGTTTGTTCTGATTTTGTTTTATTCTTTGCTGTTTATTTTGCTACCCTGCATTTGCTTCAACTATTTTTGTTAAATCAGTACATAAACCTATCAGAGGTAAGCATACTGGGATTAAGACAAATAAACTGACAACTGTTTAAGATAAATAAACAGAGAATGGAGTATCTGTGCAAGAATATCCATTTTTCTCTTGCCAGACCACAAAAAATTTACTCAGGAGAGGGCAGGGAGAGGACTGTGGCCACAAACTCCCTGCTTAGATTTACTCAGTGAGTTGAACGAGGTGAACCACTCAGGCACTTTGAAGATGTAAATATTTCCTGCTGTGTAATCTTTAGCCGTCTTTCCATAATAGTGCTTAGATGCATATTTTGATACAGTTTTCCTTAGTAATCTCTCAGTATCAGCTAAAGATCTGCAAGTGGGGATGGTACAGGTCTATGGCGTGGGTCAGATGGCTCATCTCTGATGACTGACCTTTTCTTTTTCCTCCAGACAGCCCCTAAATGGTTACAAACAGCCTACACCCGCCTAAAACGCCTGAATAACCTCTGAACCTTCATAGAATCATAGACTGGTTTGAGTTGGAAAGGACCTTAATCTTAATATCATCTAGTTCCAACTGCTTGCCATGGGCAGGGACACCTTCCACTAGATCAGGTTGTTCCAAGCCTCATCCAACCTGGCCTTGAACACTGCTGGGGATAGGGCAGCCACAGCTTCTCTGAGCAACCTGTGACAGCACATCACCACCCTCACAGTAAAGACTTTTGTCCTTGTATATAACCTGAATTTTTCTGAGAACTCTATATCAAAGCTTGACATATGTAACTAAGGTTGTCTACAGCAAAATACTTTCAAATTTAGCAATTAAGGTAACTATTTACAGATTATACATAAAGATTAACCCATATGAAAATAAGAGCAACAGGGTACCCTAATCAATCTTCTGCTGACATAGAAGTCTCTGCCTAACATCTCATAGACAGGTTTTTACAGACTGCTTCAAGTTCAAAAGGCTTCCCTAAAGGTAGACTCATGTCAAACTCTTACAAGAATCATGGTTTTACCAGAATATATGGTTAGCAATTAAAGCTGCTCTTCTATCTGTGTTTCCACACTTGGGAAACTATCAAGTAAATTTAATTTTAGCCAAGTTAGCGGGAATCATATAACAAAAAGAGTGTTCTGGGAAGATTTGACAATTGAGAACAGTTTTCCACTTTTCTTAAACTCTCTGTGTATAGAAACCCACCTTGCTCATGAGGACCTGCTGCTTTACCGACTGTTATTTGTTGCATATTCAGCTCATCTTGATGATGCAAAAATTTTCTGACTTATCCTAATTACTCTGGTGTTCCCTGCTTCATCATGTTACACAACGCTACATCTCATGGTTCATTTCCGTTCAAAATTTCAATGATCAGGTCCTTCCTGGTTTCAATCCACTCCCTTTGTTGGTTTTGGGTGAGAATGAATCAAGCTCCTCTTTTGTGGTTGCTTTACCTTAATATCCTTCTCCATCTTAAGCAATATTAGGCATCTGGCTTCACGGTCCATGATGCCACAGTATGTCCTATGACATTTAGTGCTGTGACATTTAGAGTCTGTGAGCTGAATCCTTTGCATCCCCCCAGATAACTGACCCTGTCAATCTGACTGATTGCTGTGATGTACACAAGAAGGTTAGGAAGAGTTGAGAGTCTGGCAATGACAGAAGATAAATGTTAATCAAGTAGTTGAGCCCTGATGGCCACTGTGTCACTGCTACTTGAAGTCTTGATCTGTGGAATCCTGTTAGAGGGTAATGATAATAAAAAAAGGTGAAGTTTTCCCTCTTGCTATGTGTCTCCTGTACCATACGGATTAAAAGAAAAGTTGAGGGCTGAAACATTTATTGGTTTCTCAGGAACAATGAGATCCTTATTAAAGACTTCTTCTGGAATGATCATGTGCTCTATGCCATGGGATTCTGAAAACAAGGCTGCCTGTGGCCAGGAATACAGATATTGGCCAGTTATGAAGATACTGAGCCTTGGAATAAAGACATGCACAGGAGAGACAGATAGATGCAAAGTTACTGAGTTGGAGTACATTGCTGAAAGATTGTTGATATCATTGTACAGCATATAATATAAGCTGAAATCAGCTAAATTTAGTTGGTGCAGATGGGGACCTGGTGTCTATATTTGGAAAGCAGTTTGTCCTAGAATACACACAGAAGTAACTGTAAAGATGGGGGGGGAAAGGAGGTGAATAAACAGCATCTCTTAGCACAGTCAGAGCAAAGCCTCTCTTCAGACCATAAATCACCCCTTGCTTTGGCTGTTGGGATGATGAGAAGTGTATAAGGTTTAAAATCAACAACATTTCTACTCTGCATTTTCTGTCTTACAGTGAATTGCCCAGATTTGCTAGTTTGTTGGTGCCAGCACGAGACCCTTTCTAAGTGGGGACATAAAGCAGGCAAAACAAGTAGATTTGCACCCTGGAGCTTCAAGGTGAATAATCTGTCCTCTTTCTCTGAGTGAATTTTAAAATATAAGAGATATAAAATAGAGCACAGGTGTCAAGCAAATGGTTTTAACTTAGCTGAACTACCTCTCATTGCTGCCTCTCTGGGGGTTGTTTCATAGAGGCTGAAACCTGATGAATCTAAATATGATCAAAAAGTTCAGAGAAGGATGACGTAGTAAGGTGTAATGGAAAACTGGGAATTGCCTAATAACTTCCAACAGTGAGCAAAATGATTATATGCTGCGAGGTGTAATGTGTAATAGCTTCCTTTTTGAATCTAATCAAACATCATGCGCAAAGGGCGTCTCAGATCTTCCAGACTATCCCAGGAGCAGTATAAAAGCACACGCTGCTCACAGCTCTCCCAACAGCTTCTCCTGACTTCTCCTCTGGAACTTGGGTAAGTCTTTAATTCTTTGTGCCTTTTTCATGCACTTTTTATAATAACTCTAACTGAATCCTACATAGATGTCTTTCATGACACTAACAGGGCTTGCCTCTCTGAAAAAGCAGCTTCACCAATTCTGCAGAGAGCTTGGGGCTGGCATTATCCAGCTTTTTGAGGGAATATTGACATCCTTACTAAGTGCTTCTAGGATTCCTGACTTCTGGCTCCTAGATAGAAATGAGCTGCAGCCTTATTGTGGCTTTAGTAGAAGGTGAAGCTCAGTTTTGAAGCTCTGTGTAACAGGTGGTCATATAAATCCTGTCCTACAGGTTAACTACTGAGGAGAAGGGACTGGGTGAGATGACAATTGCACTCATAAGGTATAGAAGCGCTTGTGCTCCTTTTACAAAGGAACACAATTGAAGGAAGCACTGTTTGTGATGTAGCACTTTGGGATATATTCTCACACATTAAGCACAGATATGTCAAAAATGTAGGTTGCTTGATGTACACAGGAAGAAGAGTTCAGTCTGGCAAGGACAGAAGACAAATGTTACTCAAGCAGTATGATCAAGAGGTGGGAGAGAGAGACAGGAACTACAAAGCCATTTCATTTCTGTTCAGGAAGGTACCCAAGTGGGTAGCTTGGGGAATGAAACTAGATGATCTTAAGGTTCTTTCTAACCCTAACCATTCTATGATTCCTCATCAAATATACTTGAGAGCCTGAACATAGATCTCTGACCTAACATGGAATTGCTTCACACAGTCTTCTGCCTTTCAGATCCACTTCCACAACAGAACAATGGCCTCCTACAGACAGCTGTGCAACTACCAGTACTCCACACCATGTGAGGTGGCCTGCCCCCAGCCCATCGCCAATGCCTGGAATGAGCCCTGTGTTACATCATGCAGTGACTCCAGGGCAGTGGTCTACCCACCCCCTGTTGTGATCACTTTTCCTGGGCCAATTCTCAGCTCCTGCCCTCAGGAAAGCATAGTGGGATCCTCAGCACCAGCTGCCATTGGGACCTCACTTGGCTATGGTGGATCATATGGTTACAGAGGCTCTTTTATTTATGGGGGATCACAGGAAAGCAAGTTCTCCTACCCTTATTTTTCTCAGAGGTTCACTGGTTATCGCTCTAGGTGTGAGCCCTGCCAAACCCAGCAGGAGTACACTTACACCAAGAGCAGCCAGGATACTGAATGCAAGATACAAACTCAAGAGTAAGATGGGGATTTTAAGATGCTGACATAAAAAGGCTGAGTCTTTCTAACACTTCACATTGTATTTGTGCTTGTACCTCATTATGTACTTCTCTTTTCTTAGTGACGTGTTCTCCTATTCTTCTCATGGTCCAGATTTTCAAATGCAGTAAAATTCCTTTCACATTCAACCTTGTAACATTATAGAAGTATCATAATGGAAAAGTTTGTATACTGTGATTTCTCCCTTTTGGTACTGCCTTATGTCAATCAAGAGTGATGTTAACAGATGAAAACTGGACTGCATTGTCAAGCTTACAGCTTCAAAAGAAGAAAAGAACACAGTGCTTGAAATGAAACTTTCCTGAAACAAGAAACCTCAGCTGGAAAAGCCTCAGATTCTTTGTTCTCTGTATAATCATGTTTTGCTTTTGTAAACTTTCCTTTTCTATTGCCTATTAAAAGAATCATGCTGCATCATAATTTTAGCATTCTGGGCTTGCTTTCTACCTGTTTTGATAAAATAACACCACTGAGAGAATCTTTTGTGCAGGCATTGGTGTTTCCATCATAGTTAAACCCTGCAGCAAGAAGAGAGCTAAGACCTTAACCAATCAAACCCACCCTGTTAGTACTCTGCTTGGCAATGAGTTCTGCCAACTTCCATGCCCACTTCAGACCTTGTACTGCACCATTTTGAACTGCTAGAGAAAGAAAATAATACAAGGAACAGAAAAGAGAATTGACATTATTTTCACACACAGAAGCATGCATGCAATAGTAAAACAAAGCAGCATAGGGCACTTACTGGAAAGCAGCAGTTACCAAGCACACTTTCTTACAATGCAGTAGGGTGTATCTTCATGGCACCTTCAATCTTACCCCTTTCCTTATTCCTAAAAGACTATCCAGTAGTCTACATCCAGAATTCTAGTGAGGTATTTCAGCAAGAAACTTGGTGCTAGTCCAGCACCATACTAAGTAGGATTAACACAACAGCAAACAATTAAGGGGCTACTTGGCTTTTATTTACCTTGAAGTAATTTATTATTGCTTCCAGCTGGTTCCTGAGCACTGCTGGATCACTGTTCCCTATTTACTGAGAACTCTCTATAATTACTTTACTGCACTTAGCTTCTGGTCATCTGAGTTGTTCTTTGAAATGTGTCTGCTGACCTTCTTTTAAGCTCCAATTTCTACTTCCCTGATTCTTAGGATTTTGCAAGGAGGCTTCTTTACTTTGTTCAGTAATAAGAAGTTAACCTAGAAAAAGTTACCTGCTTTGGGGCATTTATGATTCCAGTTGAGGCAGTTTTATGGTCTCAGAAAGCAAGCTAAGAAAGTACAGAGTGGGGAAGTAGATTCAAGTTTCCTGTTTCTCAGACTGGAATTTCATCACTAGCTAATTTGCTCTCTGACTGTCTCTTGAAGCTCCCTTTGCTGCTGTGAAATGTCTAATATTTTATCTTTTCTATGTTACATGGAATTATAACATCATCTATTATTTCACCTTCTTTTATGGTGCATAGAATTACAATAGTTCTGGTAAAACTCCATGGAAAGGTAGGGGAAGTAGGGATGAGCTACTTCAATACTTTTGGAGTGGCTATTTAGTACTTTACCCTGGTTTTGAAACTATTATTTAAGGGTTGGGCAGTTTTCTCACACCTGGTTCCTGTAAAGATTAAATCAGACACACAGGGGAGCTCTGCACGCTGTAAGCAGAATTTCCTGATGAATGAATCCACAGGCATTATATAAACACTGTAAGGGCACAAGACTCATCTGCAGATCTCTAAGATAAGGAGATGATTTGTTTCAATTCATTTGCAAAGGCTACATTTCCCCAAAACAAAGAAGAAAGCAAACAGATGAATGTTCTTTGGATGCAATCATAAGTGTTTATTAGGACCAAGAAGTGTAAATTTTCAGCAAAGTAAGGGAAAAATACAAGGAAGATTTTAAAAGGGCCAACTTAATAACCTGCATCAAACTGATTTATTTTCATCACATTTGTTTTCTTTCTTGGTTCAAGTTTCAAATGGACAGGACAAATCATAGTATAAGGTGATAAGATTCCTATTAGACATAAAGAAATCAAAGTATAAAACTACCAAAGAAATGATACTGTGGTCCCAAGCAACTGAAAGCATACATGGACCAGTTTCCAGTGATAAAAGTGCTTTTGTGCTCTAACAGAGAGAAACAGATTTTCACGATTAGTAATTTGATTTCCAAGAATGGAAAAGACACACTGTGAGAAAACTGACATTAAAAGCAAACAGAGCATAAAGAAGACAAACAGAAGAGCAGCTCCCATGGGTGCTAAGAAGCACTCATAGTTCACCATTCCTTCAGAGAGCCTTTCTTCTCAGCTCAGTTGCATGTTCAGGTCTTGCTGTCAGCTCCTCCACTGCTTCTCCTGCCAGACACAGCTTCAGACATGCTTAGCATGGCCCACAGCCCCCATAGCGCTGGCTCCAGAGCTGGCTGGAGGAAGAGGAGGAGAAGCAGCCCCCATAGATAAGGGAGCCCTGCAGGCCTCTGGGGCGGTCCAGCCCCACTGGGGATGAGCTGCCCACGATGCTCTCCTGAGGACAGGAGCTGAGGATGGGGCCCGGGAAGGTGATGACCACGGGCGGTGGGTAGACCACGGCACGGGAGTCCCCGCAGGAGGTGATGCAGGGCTGGTTCCAAGCGTTGGCGATGGGCTGCGGGCAGGTCACCTCGCAGGGTGGGAAGCAGCGGGAGCTGAGCTGCTGCCTGGAGAAGGACATCCTTTGGGCAGAGAGGTGAGCCTGCAACACACCAGGAACCTTCACTCAACCTTCTGCTCATGAGCTGCTGCACAGACCACACTGCTCTGCCTTGCCAGCAGCAGGGAGTGCTCAGAATGTGCTCTCTGGAGCTGCTCTCTTAATGCTTAGGTCCTTTCCTTCTCTCTCACTTTCCCCTTCCCTGCCTTCCTTTCTCCCTCCCAAGCAACTCCTCCATGCTCTCCCAGGTTTTCTGCACACTGAGTGCTGCCCAAGCCAGCTGAAAAGCTATACTGAGGTGCACCAGTCAGTTCACACTCCAGAGTGAAAGAACTGGGATTGAGACCCATACTGGCTGAATCCTCTGACTTGTAGCTGTTACAGTGGAGCTTGTACAGATCTGCAGCTGCCCTGTTTACCAACAAGAGTATCAGAGAAAACAGCCTTCACACAGAACTGGTTGAAGTTCAGACTATTTGCACCTAAAGATAAAGCGATAAGGAGATCAAACTTACTTGGATCAACGAAGAGGAGAAGTGAGGACCTGTGATCTGAGGACTTCTGAGCCCGATGCCCTTATATACCATCTCCTTGATTGCCTGGAGGGGATTGAGACATCCTTCATGTTTCAGGTTATTATAACACATCAAAACACATCACTCCCCACACTTCTATGACTGTTTTATTCATCTTTGGGCAATTATCAGTTTCTTCCAACACCCTCTTCTTTCTTCCTTAAACCTTTTGGAGCAGTTTCACTTCCTGCAGCATTTTGCTGATTTTACCAATGTGACAAAAGTGTTGGAAAACTACTTTGCTTGAGCGATTGATTCACACAGCATTTTTCAAACACTCTGCAGTATCAAAGGTAGTGCAATGCATGTGGGCTGGTTTGCTTTTCTAAACCGCTGCTGATATTGAGTTGAAGCACTGTAGAGCTTATACTTGGAATAAAGGCTGAAGATATACTGCATCTGCTTTGTTCCTTATCCCAGCTCCACACTGCAGGTCTGATACAGCACACTAAAGCATAGAGGTGATTTGTTTTGTGAACTCTTGCAGACCCCTGCACTTTCTTTTCCCTCCTAACAGAAAACCACAACTATACATTCTGTCCCTCTGAAGTCTTTACACCACAGCCCTGGTAGATGTAGGCCAGCACATCTTCCTGGCTGGAGTGATATTATGTCCCTGTGCCTGATGTGAAGAAACTCCTTCAATAACTATTAAAATGGTGTTTTCTTTGTTTCTTTGTTTTACTTAGATGAAAATAGAACAGAGCAAGACAATACTCTAAAGGCACACAGGGTAGAAGGATGCTTTATCGTGTGTTAAAGGACACCTGAGGTTGAGATCTACCCGCATGTGCTTCCTTTTGTCCCTAAGAGAGACCCTACTGCAAAAGCAGACCCCAGGGGCCCTGGCTGAAAGCAGGCAGAGCTCAACAAAAAACCTTAACACTGCTGGGAGATGATTGCAATGTCCCACCTTGCTTGGGTGCTTGCGGTGTTCTCAGTGATTCAGTGCCTCAGCACTGACCTGCACCAGCATAGGAAAGGGATTAGAAGTCTTGATATTCCCAAAGGAAATTTAATAACAGTCCCCAAGAAGGTAACAGTATCTGGAGTTAAAATATTGTAATGAACTTTGAGTACAAAATGAGCTGGGAAAACAGAAACTTCAATATCTGTAAGGAAAACAAGTAATAAATAGGCATCCCACAAACCTGGGGAAGTCAGCTGAATGATTTCCAAGAAGGAAGAACCTGAGAGACACTGAAGATAATGTGGGCTGGGTAATACTTGCAAACAGTGAGGAAACTGTTTGCCTGGATGAGGAGTTGAGGCGTGACATGTAATCTGTGTGTTTGGGAAATAATTAAGATCTTGTTCATGAGGTGTCATAGACCAGCAAGCAGCCCAAGAAACAGTATAAAAAGGGCTCACAGCACAGATAGTGTCAGTCAACTGCTCTTCTCTTTGGTGTCTTGAGTAAGTTTGATTCCACTTAATCTTTCTGGGTTAGTGTTGTACTTGAGTAGTTTTAACTCTTTCAGAAATACTCTGCTTGTCTTTCTTATGCCTCTTTTTCATCAAAAATGCACTCCTTCTGCAGGCTGCAAAACTTGGTAACGGGTGATCTCCAGCTTCTTTGTCATTTTGAGGGTGGCCAGATTGGGAAGCTTTCAGTGTGTGCAGAAAACCTGGGAGAGCATGGAGGAGCTGCTTGGGAGGGAGAAAGGAAGGCAGGGAAGGGGAAAGTGAGAGAGAAGGAAAGGACCTAAGCATTAAGAGAGCAGCTCCAGAGAGCACATTCTGAGCACTCCCTGCTGCTGGCAAGGCAGAGCAGTGTGGTCTGTGCAGCAGCTCATGAGCAGAAGGTTGAGTGAAGGTTCCTGGTGTGTTGCAGGCTCACCTCTCTGCCCAAAGGATGTCCTTCTCCAGGCAGCAGCTCAGCTCCCGCTGCTTCCCACCCTGCGAGGTGACCTGCCCGCAGCCCATCGCCAACGCCTGGAACCAGCCCTGCGTCACCTCCTGTGGGGACTCCCGTGCCGTGGTCTACCCACCGCCCGTGGTCATCACCTTCCCGGGCCCCATCCTCAGCTCCTGTCCTCAGGAGAGCATCGTGGGCAGCTCCTCCCCAGTGGGGCTGGACCGCCCCAGAGGCCTGCAGGGCTCCCTTATCTATGGGGGCTGCTTCTCCTCCTCTTCCTCCAGCCAGCTCTGGAGCCAGCGCTATGGGGGCTGTGGGCCATGCTAAGCATGTCTGAAGCTGTGTCTGACAGGAGAAGCAGTGGAGGAGCTGACAGCAAGACCTGAACATGCAATTGAGCTGAGGAGCTCTCCAAAGTCTGGGGCACCCACAGCTCCCAAGTAATCCACTGGGTCCTGTGGGTGCTTCTTAGCACTCATGGGAACTGCTCTTCTTCTTGTCTTTCTTATGCTCTGTTTTATTG